ACGATGTGAAGGAGGATGATCATACGAAAGAAAGAAAGAGAAAGAAACAGAGGAAAGATGATGTAATAATGACGATCGATGATGATGATGATGATGATGATGAAGAAGAAGATACTGTTAAAAATAACGAAGAGTTGGTGGAAGAGGAGGAGGAGGAGGAGGGAGTAATGCCGTTCACTCCTCTCGATTTGTTGCGCGAATTATGGTCGTAGGAAATCACACCGTTGCGTAATATTCGACTGATGACGGCCGCCGTGTGCAGCAGACAGTCGAAAATTAACGTTGTTCGAGACATTGCGAATGCGGATAAAAAAAAACGAAGCGGCCGCTTTGTGCGACGTGGTCGTGGATCTGCACGAATTGTGGCTGTCCGGCGGATCTTCGCGCAACGCTCCTTGTAGCGTCGACGACATGATAAAGTTTATACGCAAGAATACGCGGCGAAAATTATATTTGGCTTCTTACACCAACGGGATTCTTTCGGAGGAGAGTTTCTACGATTGGATCCATTATTACGAGGAGTATGTAAATGTATGTATCGAATATAATGGAGACCGCTGCTGCTACCAATGGAGTCGATAATAATAATGCCGGCACGAAAGTGCCGGCGACGATGACGGATAAGAGAGTTGTCGAGGAAAAAAAAGCGGGAAGCAATAATGGAAATCGTTGAAGAGGGAGGAAGTGGTGGATTGGACGCATTGTTTAATGATTGTCGCGAGATCACGCGCGATTGCGTGCAACAATATATCGCGAAGGTGGAGGATCGGCGTGTGCTCACGGTGAAATCACCGGGCAAGAGAGGCACCGAGGTTGTTCGTCTGCAAATTTACGACACTAAAAATATTTTAGGACGGGAGCCTCGCACTTGGTGGAAGTATAAAAAATAAGAACTCAATTCCTAAGTTCGGGCAGTGAGCGTAAGAAATTGCTCATGAGGAATTTGATGGATCAGATAGCCGATGAATTGAGAGCGATACCCGGAGTTGTTCGTGAGAATCAACAACAATTTCAATTTCTCGATAATTGAGAGAGAGAGAGGTATGTATAAAATAAAAAAATAATAATAAGAAATAAAAAAGTTTATATATATGTGTGATATTTTTTCTTTTTCAGAAATAATGGTGTCTCGTACTTTTGTGGAGATATTATATATATATATGCATCGATATGTGAAAAAAAATGCTCCTGAGGCGTGATGACGACGACGACGACGACGACGATAATGATGATGATGATGATGATATTTCTTGATAATTGAGAGAGAGAGAAAGGGAGAATAATTCATATATATATATATATTTGTTCGCTGAACGAAATAATAAAAAATACACCATTATAAAAATAATGAAATAAAATATATATACTTTATTTCTCACCATATTTGTGATCTATTCTTTTATTTAACACATTCTTCCTCCTCCTCCTCTTCCTCCCTCTGCGATAAGATAAAAAAATACTTATCATATCGTGATCTATTTTTTAAATTTATTTATATTTTTAATTTATCGTGATATATTTTTTTTTTATTTTCACACTATCACACGAACGAATAAATACGACCACTATCACTGCCGTTTTACACGTTGAATGCTACGGGGGTCACCGGTGACCGGCGCTGTGATGTTACCGCGTTTTATTAAATTACGTGTGTGACGTATAATTAATTGCATCTACAAAATAGGTTGTACAGCCGGTAATGAGCTAATGAAACAAGCTAACAGATGCGTATCCTGAATTATATTTATTTACTGCAGTTTTAGTGATTTAATTGAATCAATTAGGCGTTTGTACGATCAATGGAAATCAGCGTGGCATTTAACGTGTTAATAAATAAATTGCGATTCATAGTAGAGGATAAAAAGAAGAAACAGTTATATGGTTAAAATAAAAATTTTTTAATATTTATTTTTTATTTGTTGAAAATTAAGGCGACGAGTTCGCAATCGATTATATTGTTTCGATCGAACGAATCGCTATTTAGTATTGCCTTAGTGATATTTGCATCATCGGGTATTGTGCGCGCGATGTCGAGAAATTGTCGTAATTTCGCGTCGACGTTATTAGTAATTGCACATAACGAGTTGGCGATGCGGTTTATACAATATCTAAGTTTGTATATATTGATAACGGTGGCCTGCGACACGGATAGGCGACGAGCCGTGGATGTTTCCAGGGTCAATATCGGTAGATTATTGATTTTTCCGAAGCGTAGCGTTAGATTTTCAATTTGAATATTATTTGAAAAATCTCCTCCTCCTCCCATATTGTTGCCGTTGCGTCGTAGATTCGACATGACATTTGATTCTTGCTCGAGAAAGTTTTTCCACACGGTCGTTGAGAGTGGGATTTCCTTGCCGTTATTGTCGCCTATAACGACATTTACGCGGGATGGAAGTGTCGCTGTGATTCCTATTTCGATGAATTTGTAACCCGTTTTCGTCAGTAGATATTTTTTCGTTAAAATTCGCACAGGAGTGTTTACGCTTTCATCATTTCTAGTGAACAAAATGGTGGTGGTAGTGTAAAAGTGTTTTTAATAAACGATAATAATAAAACTCACTCGTTTCATTTGTTGTTGTAATTTTTTTTGTTACGCGCCTGACCACCGTTGTTATTTATAACAGGTTCTTCCGTTGAAACGTCATCGTCATCGTGTGATTTTTGTTTTTTCGTGTTGTTTATCTTATCGTTGGACTGACGGTTGTTGGTAGAGGGGGAACGTTCGTTGTTGATTAACGCGTACATTATGATGCGCGATTTTTCTCTCTCTTTCGCGGTTAAGACGGGAATGAAGGGGAGAAAAAGATTACGTGGAGTTATCGGAGAATCGTGATCGTTCGTTGTATTCTTCTCTCTCCTTCTTTCTCTCTTTCTTACATTATTATTCCCTCTCTTCCCTCTCCTATTTTTTTTCTCTCGTTTGCGAAGGAGTCGATTTGGATCAATCGGCCGAGCAGGTCTCGTAATTGTTTTATCAAATTGTCCCGCGGGCAAGCGACACCTACGATCTACAGGTCGAACTTACCGGTAGCTGTAACGAGTCCGGTAAAATCATTAAATTTGTAATAGAAATGATTTTTAACGAAGTATAAATTTCCATCGGTATATCGAAATGCGGTCGTCAATCCGGTTGGTATTCCTGGAAATATCTCGTCGATTGAACGATGACTCATGATTCTTGTTGAATAATCGTCTATTTCCCCGACTATGTGATCGTACACAATGAAACTTCGTCCTTTGTTAGTGTTTATTGCGGTATTGACTCTGGCTGTAGGTGGAAGACCGAAATCGTTGAACGAAAGTCTTTGAATCAATTTGTAACTAGGATTACATTACGTATATGAAATTATTTGCAAATATCATAAGGTTGCCCGCGGGTTTCTGATATGCAGCCGTTAGGTGTGTGAAATTTTCAGGAAGAAATTGCATGTAATCTGATATTACGATCGGACTTTCATAAGTATTTTCGTTGATATTAATCGACCATATGCACTTTTTATATGCAATATATAGTCGATTGTATATGATATTATAGCGTTTTGGAAAGCTCTCGAAGTAAGCTACAAGAATGTGCATTGAAAAATGGGGGTTTCCATTTAAGAAATTAAAGGTGACCTTCACGTGATCTTCAAACGACTATCCAAGGTCAAACCAATGACATCATCTTATGTGCCCCTCGAAGTCACAAAACTTTTGTCTGAAACATTTTTCTTTAAAATGTCGCGTTTACGAAAAAATCGGGTGAGACNGGTAGGGCATACGGATCGTGATTGATATATTTTGTTGTTGTTGTTGCAACAGTTGTAGTGGTGGGCGGTGTTGTAGTTGTAGAACCGTGGTAATTAGCTCCGTATAGATATCGAATATGAAGAATATCATCCAAGCTCAATCTAATGGGAAACTTTATTTCACCGGGCGTCATCGCAAACATAATCGTATCCTGGTGTTCGCTGTGATGCAAACCTAATGTGTGGCCGATTTCATGCGCAATCACGTATAACAGGCTGTGCGTGCGTGGAGGATTTCTACTAATATGAACATGCCACGATTCCGTTCTATCTATGTGCACCTCCGTGACGTAATCTTTATCTCCGTTGGGAAAGGATGGGTGAGCGAGTACACCACCGGAGCCGTCTAAAGGACTCGGGCACATATTAGTAATTCTCTTGTCGATATTCGTGTGAAGGCCCTCGCGATACGATAACAGTGTGTCGGGATTCTGAGATACGCGTTTAAAAGATAATGATGAATTTCCAGCCCACAGATTGAACGCGGCCTGCGTCACTATCATAGTTTCTTCGTCGGCGAGATGAAAATTCCACGTGAGATGTTTCTTCGACCAGATATTGTTTCTGCTTCGATCCGTTTGATCTGAAAGGTCTGGGAGGCCGCATCGCGGTTCGCGCATTTTGTTCAATGTGATTTTATTTAGTTCGCCCTGTCCGGGTATTTGATAATATTCTTGAAATAATCCGAGAGCGTGACGTAAGATTTGTTCCATATTTCTCGATGACGTTGACAATGCGTCAGTTTTAAGATAGCCATATTTCCGTAAATAATTGAGCGCCACTTCCGCATCGTTGAATTATCCCACGATTGTAACGATGCACCACACACCGACCGCGAATGCGAACGGATGCATCCGGAGTCGGGGAGAGGATAAAACTACGATGAGATTATGATGAAGATAAATTTGACTCATTGAATCGGACGACGACCTTGAGGTTATTTTTAGTACGAGATAACGGTGATGATAAATTTCATCGCTTGACGATGAATCGGACGACGGCTCTGTGGTTATTTTTAATGCATGCTACACGATGTGTACGTGTATGTGTGTGTGTGTGTGTGTGTGTGTGTGTGTGATAAATTATAACGTAGTAATGTTTGGTATCCAAGAATTGTACAAACTGTTCATTCCTAACCATTTCACATATATTTTGTCTCCACGTTTGCGTAAGATCTTTTCTATTATATAAACATTTGGATCGGCGACTCGTTGTAATTCGTGTTCGTAAAAACCGCCTGTTATCGCGTAACCGCGATAATCTTTCAGAAGATACATTACAGGATTGATCCGTTGTATCTTAGCGATGCGAAAGATTTCGGTGGACCAATTGGGTGTGTATCCTTTTTCGAACATCGTTTTGATGTTTTGAATTTGCTCATACGTACCGGATCGTTGAGTCGAAATTTCGCTGGTGGAGCAATTTTTATACGACTGTACACTGTGGATAAGAGTTTTTTTTAGCAACGACGGGTGTTACATCTATCGGTCGTGTATTAATTGTTTGATGCACGCGATGATTGTAATCTGATAATAAATACGGTAATATTTCAATCCATTTATATGAACCATTAAGTGTAAAGGCTTTCCACATGTTGTTTTTCAATGTGCGATTAAATCTTTCCACCACCGACGCTTTCATCACCGAACGTGTGGAATAATGATTTACATTATATTTCTTTAACATTGTTTGCACAGCACTGTTGTAAAATTTTTTTCCCTCGTCCGTTTGCAAATTTTTCAGATGCCTATTTCGTAATATCGAAGATGATGCCTTAACCATTTCACTTCCGCTTTTATTTCTCAAAGGTAATGCCCACGCGTATTTACTTAATACATCGATTATTGTCAATATATAATTATGACTTTTTTTCGCGCATACGGACGCATTTCGACCACATCCGCTTGCCAGAGATCGTCGTAATCGCAAATCACAACGTGACGTCGTGGAAAATTTCGTCGCGCCGGTGCGTGTAATTCCTTAACGAGTTGTCGCTTTTGTTGTCAACACTCATTTGTTTCTTCTTCATTGTTTATTTTTTACATCACTTGTCGAGAAGTATTTTTTTTATCTATTTTTCACTATTATTCTTTCTCGTTTAGCCCGTTTAATCACTTTGTATTTTCTTTTTTGAGCACTTTGTTATTGTCGTTGCATTGTCATATGTTTATTGGGCTTCCGATAGTCTAATAGTTTCTATTTCTTCACTTATTTTTGTTATTTTATTAATTAAATTTTCGATGATACTTCGCACATTTTTGTCATTCGATATAATGTTGATTGAAATATCATCAATTTTAATCATTAGATCCGTGATGATATCCCGCATATTACTCTCATTCGACAATAGCGAAGTTATTGTCATTGAAATGGTATCGATTTTAGCCGTTAGATCTGAGATGACATCTTTGTTCAAAATTTCTAACACGTCGCACATTTTAGTCGACAGATCCGTAATGACGCTGTGTATTTTATTCTCATTTGATAATAAAGAGGTTACGGAGATTGAAATTTGGTCAATTTTATTCGTCAGATCCGCAATGATATCTTGTACTTTTCCTTCATTTATTAATTGCGAGGTTATGTTAATAGACAATTCATCAATCACTTTTACATCTTCGATCATTTTGTCAATTTTTTTCGTTAGATCCGTGATAACGCCACGAATTTTTTCTTTACTTTCATCAATGAGTTTTTTTACAACTGTCTATGAAGTATCAATTTTGTCCCTTATGGCATGTAATGCGTTGTCAATATAATGTTTATTAATCGCGTCAGTGTCGAGTTCTGGATTGGCTAAATTTTGTATTTTCTTCTTTTTCGCGTTATAATGAAAATCCGCGTCTAAATTAAGCGTGTTATCACTAACGTATGATTGCAGAGAATATAATTTGCCGCGAATTTTACTCTCACTGTTGCTATTATCGTGTTTTTCCAGAGAAGTGCCGAACTTATTTACTGACATTCCGATATGCGTGTGTGTGTGTATCCTTACGAGTCGTCTAATTGACAATAAATCCAGCTTCACGGAGCTTCTCGATGATCGATAAGATTTGGTTGTCATGCGCATTGTTGCCGGCCCTACGTGATGCGTCGAGTAATCTGAAACGCTCCACCAATTTGTTCGGATCATCCCAATGAATATATTCAATGTAATTGTCAGTTAATTTCATTGTCGATTGAATAATACATTTGATAATTTCATTGTGGATCGAATCTGTAATATATTCGATGAATTTACGATATTCGTTATTCGTCTACCCATTCCCGTGTGTTTTATCAGCGGTGCGATAATGTGTTTACATTGCGACCGTTATTCGCGACTCGGTCTCTTCGAGTCGCCGGTGCAACGCCGACGGGTGAGCCTCGGGCCGCTAGCTAAATCCGGACCTCCACGAGTCCGTGTGGGCGCCAGGTGCGCGAATCGCACCCACTAACTACGGGCCCCGCGGTCGGCGTCGCTGTCCGCGCATCGGCCACTCGACCCGAGTCCCGATCGGGACCGGCAGCTCCGGGGTGATTTAAGTCGGAGGCCGAGGGAGTCCGTACGGTCGCCGGCGTCAGTCGGCGACCGGCGCAGGAAGGGGAAAGAAAAGAAAAAAAAGAACCGCGACCTCGACAGCACTTTCCTTTATTTCGCCCGTTTTTCTTTGTTTCAAATCGCGACAACTATATACAACATAACGCGCTCGTTACCACGCCGCGGCGGACCCGAGACGTCCGTTTCTCGCGTTCGCTTACTGACCGTCCGTCGAGCCAAGGGGCCGGGACCTCGCACACCACGATAATCCCCAATCACAAAAAATAATTAACAAATAATAGAATGCGTTGAGGCGGCCTTACAATTGCGGGCTCCCGGGCGGCTGGTCCTCGTCGGTAATCCTCTCTCTCCTGCTCTCTCGCTCGCTCTCTCTCCGTCCCTTGCTCGTTCTCTCCCTCTGGTCACCGCCAAGGGTCTTTCAGCTCCGGGACTCCTTCACAAAGGTCACACACATTTTTCTCGGTACGGTAGCAAAAGCACGAAACGACAACGTGAGGTAATGGTAGCTCTGACTCTTTTTCGACGATAGCTCTCACTCGTTGGTAACGATAACTCCAACTATCCGGTAACGAGAGCTCTAACCGAACTCTCCCTACTCCTCACCGGGAATATCTCCTTTTTTCCACTTCCTTTTCGACAGCCGGTTCTTTGCCGGCGGTGCCCGAGTCGCCTTTGAGCCCGTCGCTCCACCGCCGATCTATCCCGGCGCGGTTCCGCGGCTTCGGGCTCCGCGATCTTAAGCGCGACCTCGGCCCGCCGGCCCCACCGTCGTCGAGAGGTCGAAGGGGTAGCCCCGGTGGTGTCGGCAGCGGCCCCTCGTCGGTCATCTCAGAACAGAGGACGGCATGGTCCTCCGCCCGGCGGTCGACACTCCTTCTTCTTCTCGCCGCCCTTCGGAGCGGGGTGTACACTTGGTCGGGGCGCGGGGCTCGCCTCTGCCACTACCGTGCGCCCGCGGCGCGCGGTCTCCGTTAACTAAAAAAAAAAGTACAAACAAAAAAGCTAATAACGTTAATTCGGCGCGCTCGTATGAGCATGCCACTCGCCCTACGATAGGGCCTTTGCCCTTGGGACGGGCGCTCCGAGCCGCCACGTCACAACTGATATTTCGGTTGATACAATGATTTCGTATAAATATAAATATTTTCGAAACGCACACCGTACGGACTTTCTAGTAAACTTATCAAAGCGTTCGTTTTACCGCAATTGGAAGGGCCACAGATGATGCAACGTATCGAATTTGGTAATAAAGAACCATGTCTACGCATATTTTGAATCATCACATTTGGTAATAATCGTATCTTATGATCGAGATTTGGCGCACCTATCGTTTGTTGTTGTCGTACGAATCTCATATCGTGCGGCGCATGCGCATACTTCTATCGTTTTTTCTCTTTTTCTCTATTTATTTTATGTCTTTTCATACACACACACTCACATATATATATACACATACACACACATACACAATGGTGGAATAGATTAAATATGTGCTATTATTTATACGCGATTGAATCGCGCGCAGCGATCAGAATCGAGTGAGTTATTTCGCATAAGAGTTCGTCGCGTGCGTATGCGTAACAGAATGGTTTTCCTTTTACTCACAAACAAAGAGGCTATCGTGACATTGGACGCTGAACAATTGGAATACATTCCGAAGATCGTTCTATTGAGTGAATATTCAACTTTTATAGAGGAATTATGGGACAAACTTCCGTTTCACATTAAAGCGGATCCCAAGGTGCAACAATATCGTGTATGTATGGAACATTACAATCGTCCATAGGATAGGACTCATATAGATGGGCCACCACCGTCTCGTCGAAATTGTACCGAATGTCGTCGAAGATCGCATCAGACGACTGATTGTTCGATGGAGCGATAAGTAATGTTTCAAATTACACATCACACCATTCTATAAAATTTGTGTATTCGATGCTCATTTACATGATAAAAAAGAAACAAACGTTTGACGCGCGCACGGTGAGTAAGATAAGAATCTCCATTGAACGTTGTGTGTGCGCATCGTGATCGCGAAATCTTTCATTCGCAAAAGTGACAGACTCAACGATTACCGCTGCTGCTGCTGCTCGTAAACAAATATTCATTCCGTTTTTTTGTTTTTAATGCGACGATAGATTTGTCGCTGTTGTTGTATGGGCAATCATGAGA